TTAAAAATGTATATATTTTTTAAAAGAGTCAATTAGATCCAGATAGTAAATGATGATGACTGCTTTTCCTTGTATACTAACAGTAAAACACTAGTTTTCTATATGATTTCTCCTCTTGAGTTATGCCTTGTTAGGTTAGTGAGGAGGAATACTTTGAGAAACAGCTTTAAAAGATTTGCTGCTGCTTTTACTGTTGGAATGTTAATGAGGACTTTATGCAATGTATTTTTTTTTTTGAAGGCCAGATGTTTTACTTTCCCTGCTGTTTTTGCTTTTTAATTTTTTAAGACTCAATATAACTGATTATGTTTTTCTTTTGACTTCAGCTATCATGAATTCATATACAAAATTAAGCACTCACTGTAAGTTTGTATTTTATGTTCCAATGTTTCTTCCCAGTATTTTATTTTATGGTTTGCAAACAAGAACTTTAGTACTTGGAGGGTATCAACTACTGTGTCAGACCTGTTTTGAGAATAAAATCGACTAAAGGAATGGCTTAATTGCACAGCAGATTTCTTTGAAAATGTTGATTAAAGATAATTGAAGACTTGGAGGTTTATTTCCCCTCCTTACATTGTCTTGTTTCCACAGAGCTTTAAAATGAAAAAGTCAGAATATTTGCTTAGCCCCAGTTTTTACAGTGGGTCTTAGACAGCTTTAGTTAGGACCCCACTCATTTGCCAAGAACTTCTGTATGATAAAAGGTGGAGATTAAAGATGACAAGGCTTTCTGCTTGGGCATATCACTCCCTGGGTGATTTTAACTAAGGCAAGTGTATTGAGTCATTTTCCTGAGCCTGATACACAGACAAATAGCAGTGCATTTTCTGGACTTAGCATGATTCTCCTTAAAACAGTTAAAATGATGGAGAAAGGGATTCCAAAATTTATCCCTCCATAAAAGCAACAACACCAATAACAACAAAAAAACTGGCAGAAACTCTCAGGATGAACTTTTTCAGACCCCTGGAAACTAACCAAAGGCTTGTCACAACTAGAGGGACGTTTATTAAGAAAAAACACTGAATCTCTGTGTGAACAGTGAGCTTTGTGGTATTTTAATCCGCCCTGATCTCAGCCCTTTTTCATCTGCTCAGTGGTAGCCTTGAAAGTAACAGACCATGTTCTCAGTATTGGTACCGATACCAGAAGGAGCAGAATGGATGTCATTCACAATTAATTGTAATTAACTTATTGAGTTATGTGATTCTTTGAAAGACAGGTTCAAAAGGCTTGCCTTTCTGTCCTTTAACGTGGAACTCCTCCACTGCTAAAGTGACTTCTTGCCAGGGTTTGTCAAAAATGTTTACAGGTAAATTAATATTTGTATATATATTACAAATATTTACAGGTCATTGATGCCTGAGAAAGTGTCAACAGTTGGGGAAAACATCAGACTAACCAAAAAGTTTGGAAGGGAAGGCTGGGAATAAGATACTTAGGAAACAAGGGCTTTGAAATTCTCTGACCTGGGAATTCCTAGGAATCTAAATGACCACATGGGTGTCCAGGGCTATGCACATGCTTGGGAAAGATCTAAGAAGGTCCTAAGGTCTCACTGCTGGCTGACCTTGAAGGCATGCGTTTTGAAGTCAAGTCTCAACACATGGAGCCCACCTGCAAAACATTGGGAGAATTTGATTCCAGGCTTCTAAGGCAATCTCTTTCCATTCACTAGCTGATCATTAAGCTGAAAAGGGACTTTAGTAGTCACAAATGATAAAAAAAAAAAAAAAAGACTATAGTATTAGTTCAGAAAAATCATTAAACAAGGAAGCTACAACAAACATTGGCAATAAACCTTAAGAAGGGGTGAAACATCTGATTGCTAGAGTTGTCAATTATTCAATATCTAGTTTTCAACAAAAAGCTATGAAGCATACAAGAAACAAGCCCCTTTCACAGAAGAAATGACTAGAAACTACCTAGGAAGTAGAGACATTGGACGTAATCATCAAAGACTTTAAGGAAATGTCTCAGACATGCTCAGAGCTAAAGGAAATCAGGAGAATGATATATCATCAAATAGAAAAAAGAAGTAAAAATTTAAAAAAATTTAAAAGGAAGTAAACTATGGAGTGGAAAAGTACAGTAATGGAAATGTAAAATTGACTAGTGGGTTTTAGTAGCAGATTTGAGTAGGGCCCCCCCCCCCCCAAATCAGTGAATTTGAAAATAGATAAAATATCAGGTTTGAAGAGCTGAAAGAAGAATGGAAAATGAACAGAGCTTTAGAGACCCGTGAGACACTGTCAAGCGTGTCACTGTTGGGAGCCCCAGAGGAAGAGGAGAGAGAGAGGGATGGGAAGAATACTTGAAGAAATACCACCCGAAAACTCTTAAATTTGATGAAAACATTAATCTGCACTTAAGTAGCTCAACAAACTCAAGTAGGATTAGCTTCAGGACATGTTAAACTGACTAGAGAAGCAACTCATCATGTACAAGGGTCCTTATGAAGTTACAGCTGTTTTCTCATCAGAAACATTGAGTCCAGAGGCAGTAGGCTGACATATTGTATGTAAGTACTGAAAAAAGGTCAATCAAGAATTCTGTAGCCATCAGAAATGAAGGTGAAATAAAGATACTCCCAGATCAACAGAAATTGAGAGAATCATGACTAGAGGACTAACCCTACAGGAAGTGCTAAATGGGGTCCTTCAAGCTGAAATGAGACCTGAGATGTAATTGAAATACATGTTAAGTAAAAACACAGGTAAAGGTAACAACACAGATAATTATAAAAGTCAGTATTAATACATACTTTGTAACTCTGCTCTTCCTGTTTGATATAAAAGATAATGACATAAAACATTGTCTGTTTATGGATATAGTGGGCTTCCCTGGTAACTCAGTGGTAAAGAACCTGCCTGCCAGCGCAGGAGAATGCGGGTTCAATGCATGGGTTGGGAAGATACCCTGGAGAAGGAAATGACAACCCACTCCAGTATTCTTGCCTGGGAAATCTCATGGACAGAGGAGCCTGATGGGATCACAAAAGAGTCGGACATGACTTAGTGACTAACAACACCACAACATAGATATACTACGTATGAAGATGTAATTAGTGACAATAAAGAACATAAGGAAGAGAAGCAGTTACATAGGAGCGAAGTTTTTGTATCCTGAATTTTGTATACTGAAATTAAACTATTTTGTATACTGAAATTTAAATTTTGTATACTGAAACTGATACTAATCCAGATTAGAGTTGTTATAAATTAAGATGTTAATTGTAATTATAGTGCAATCATTTAAATAATAAAAATTATGAAAAAGGAGTTAAAATGATACACTGGCAAGTATCTAACAAAAAATTCAACTCTCCAATTAAAAAGCAGAGATATGCAGAATGGATTAAAAGACATGGTTCAACTATTGATTCAGAGAGATAAATGGGTTGGAAGTAAAGGATGAAAAAATATATATGCAAACCAAAATCAAAGGGTCAGTCTTTCAAAAAGATATAACAGTTGCAAACTTGTGTGCACCTAAAAGAGCCTCAGAATACATAAATCAGGTATTGACAGAGTAGAAAAGAGAAACAGTTCAGCAGTAATTGAGAACATCAGTACCTTACTTTAAATATGGACAGAACAGCTAGACAGAAGATCATCAAAGAAATAGAAGATTTGAACAACACTATAAACTTGATTAGACATAGCAGAACATTCTGTTCAATAGCAGCAGAATATGCATTCTTCTCAAGTGCCCATGGAACATTTCCTTGACACATCAGGCCACAAAACAAATCTTGGTATGTTTTAAAAGGTTGCAGAATATGTTGTCAGACCACATTGACAGAAATAGCAGAAGTAAACCTGGAAAATGTACAAATATGAGGAAATTAAGAAAAATAAAACACTGAAAATATCTTAAACCAGTCGCATTTAGTGAAGTGTGTGTGTGTATTTTTAAAGCACAAAAACATACAGTTGTAGGTTTTTGTATTCATATACCTGAAAATTTAAGAGTTTTGATACTTTGAGTGAGTGTTCTGGTTATTAGGAATGCATGTTGTCCCAGATTTTCATTCTTTAGTATTAGTTTAGACATATTATAGTCCTATTAAAAGAGCAGATAAACCGCTAATCTATTAATTGTATTTTTTTCTTCTTTCATGATTGTTTTATATGGGTTAATAAAACTGATCTATATTCTTTCATGTTTAAGTTAGCTGACACTTAGAGGATCAGGTAGATCAAATACACATGTAATCTGTTTTATGTATTTATGATGTATTATATATATATTTATAAATGATATATTGTAAAGTGGAAAATTATTTTCTGAATAAGTTGCAAATTTCTTTATTGCCTATTTGATAATAGATCTTCAGGTGTTGAGTGGGGCAAGTCATGACATGTAGTAAAATATGCCATGTCATTGTTCATAGTGGCAATTGAGAGCTCTTTTTTTGTAGAATAATCAGAAAATATTAAAACTAATTCTAAAAATCTTTAAAGATATCCTTTCATCACAGCATTGAGAATCTTTATCTAATTCTCATTTATTTTTGTCTTACTCTGTTAATCTCCATTTCTAGCTGTAATAACTTTATAAGTTTTTAGAAAAGTAACAGCTGTTTTTCTGGTGGGGAAAATTTCAGTTTTCTTATCATGGTAAGAACTAGGCATCCTTTTGGGCTTCCCGGGCGGCTCGGACGGCCAAGAATTTGCCTGCAGTGCAGGAGACCCAGGTTCTATGATCCCCTGAAGGGCAACCCACTCCAGTATTCTTGCCTGGAGAATCCCATGGACAGAGGAGCCTGGTGGTGGTCTATGATCCATGGGGTTACAAAGAGTCAGACACGACTGAACAACTAACACACACACACACACACACACACAGGCATCTTTTTACATTTATCTGAGAAAAGACAAACTTTCAGTTGACAGGACTTCTTAGTGCATATAAATCAGCGCTTCTTCACATGTTTAGGAAGGAATTTATACAAGTTAAGTTTGAAATATGTGGCACACGTTAATTTCTTTCAGGAGAAGGAAGCCAGCACCCCTTTGGAGCCATGAACATTGTCCGGACTCCATCTGTCGCTCAGATTGGGATCTCAGTGGAGTTGCTGGACAGCCTGGCTCAGCAGACTCCTGTGGGCAATGCTGCGGTCTCCTCAGTTGATTCATTCACTCAGGTAATGGAATGCACCTTTCATTTTCTAAGATAGTTTACAAATCACATTCTATACTTCATAAAACAGCCTGTGGCAGAATTCATGTAAAAATGAAGGTAAACACGTATGACATAAATTATTGGCTTCCGTGAATATTTTCACTTTGTCTCCCTTCTATATAGGTATTTTAAAATTCATAAATGCTTTGATGATACTTAGTTTTTACAGTCATAAAAAAGCTCAAAGTGATTTTTTTAAATGAGTTTAAATATTAACTTTTCCCCCCTTTTCCTCCCACAATTAATATGCTAGACTGTGGGTATATAGTTGTGAACCTGATAATAAGCAAGATTCTGGTCCTCATGTTGCTTAAAATCACATAATTTCATAAGGGTTGACTTTTAACCTATAAGGCAAAGGCCTGAGGGGAGAATGATTTAGGCAGAGTTATAGCTAATACAAAGGCCCAGTGGTTGTTACGTTTGAAAAATAAAGTGAAACTTTGTTGCTGGAGTAGAGTGAGCAAGGGGGAGAGATAGGAGATGAAGTTGGAGATTATGGTTAAGCGCCTCCCCCATAATGAGATTCCATATATGAAATCTTATTGGCTTTTGTAGGGATTTTGGCTTAAGTTCTTTTTGGAGGACAAAACAAAATTTCGAGCAGGGGAGTAATATGATCTAACTTACATTTTTAAAGGATCACTTTTGCATCTTTGGAGAGAAACTGTAATGAGGCAAAGATGGAAGGAGAAAGAGCGGTTAGGAGTCTCTTGCGAAAATCTCGGTGAGAGTTTAATGGAAGTACAAATGGACGTGGTGAAAAGTAGTTGATATCTCTTCTGGAGATAATTTGAATATGGGGCCAATGCTGTCTCAACAGTGTGAATCACATGTAAAGTCTGAGATAGAGACATCAACTGTGGCTGTAAGGATGCTGGTTCCAAGGGCTGAAACACAGGAATATTGTGCAAAGAACAAGTATAGGCTGGGAGTGGAATCAGGAGTTGAGTTTTGGTTGTACTGTGTTTGGGATGCCTATTAGATAGATAGCTGGAGGTGGCAGGTTCATGAGAGATAAAAATTTGGGTGCCCTCAGTGTAGCGGTGGTATTTAAAGTTGTAGAGGAAATGTGATCACTGAGAAATAACTATAAACAGAAAAATTGGCCAGTGACAGAGCTTGAGGCCATTTCAAAGTTGAGATGCTTAAGAGATCAGGAGGAATAAAAGGAAAGGAACACCTAAAGTAGGAGGCAACCCCCCAAAATGGTATTTTGAAAGAGAAGTACTTTTTTTTTTTTACCTCTTTAAATTAAGATATGATAGCACATTTACAGGAGATTTGGAAAATACATACAACAAAGTTATATATAATTCCACTGTATATTACAATTATTTTTTTTTTAAGTAGATAAAAGATTTTTAGTTGGGATTTCAACATCAAACTCAAAACTTAATAGAATGAATATACGGAGAAGTAGAAGGATATAGTAGACCTGAAAAACACAATGAACCAATTCAACATAAGATATATACAATTTTCAAGACTGCCTTTTAAGAAGGAAGAAGTGATCAGTAGTATTGACTGCTTATGGATCAAGTAAATGAAGGGTAAGAATTAACGATTGGACTTGGCAGGGTAGAAGTCATTAAAGACTTTGACAAGAATTCACAGAGGTGGAAAGGGAGTTTGGAGTGAGGTTGAGTGACTTGGAGAAGAGGAAATAGAAATAGTGACTATAGATGACTCTTAGTGAGTGTTGTTACAAAGGATAGCTGATGGGTGGTGTGGTTGCTTGAGGGCTGTGGGGACAAGGAAAATTTTTTTTTTCTGTTTTTAATAGATATTATATCATGTTTGACAGCAGTAAAGCATTTGTGAGAGAAAAATTGATGATGCAGGAGAGTGGGGAGACTTGTGAAAGTGGTATCCTTGAGTAGGAAGTAGACTGTATTAGGAAGGAATAGAAAGGATAACGGGCAATGTTTACAGTATGGATAGAGAGACGCAGCAGGTTAGCAAATGTGCTGAAGAGAACTGGCGCAGGTTCTCTCTCAGTTCCTTCTCTAGTGAAATAGGAAGCAAGATCATCAGCCAGGATTGGGGAAAGGAAATATTGGAAATGTAAACCAAGGGCTTCCCTGGTGGCTCAGATGGTGAAAAATCCACCTGCAGTGTCGGAGACCTGGTTTCAATCCCTGGGTTGGGAAGATCCCCTGGAGGAGGGCATGGAAACCCACTCCAGTACAATCTAAAACAGAAGGATTGTTAAATAAGTCCTCTAGGAGAGGAGGAGCATGAATGGACTAGGGAAACCTCTGGGCTTGCTGGACAGCATACTTTTAAGAACTGTGGATGTGAATTTAAGAGCCAACTTGTCATGCAATCTCTGGAGAATGGGCCGAGTTAAGAATGACAGTCTGGGTTTAAAAATTTTTGTCAGTAATTTAAAAAAAAAACTGTGCTGAAAAAAGCAAGTTACAAAGCAATACTAAACAGTTATTCCATATAAATTGTATGTGAAAAATGTCTGGAAAATACATGCCAAAGTGATGTTATCCCTGGAGAGGGGCAGGAAGACATTTTAACTCTATAATAAATTATTTGACCTTTTTATTAAGCATATGTATTTTTTATGAAATATTTTAATATATAGAAAAGTACATTCCACAGATATTTATTGTGTACATTTTGTGTGCCAGGCATTTTTAAAGAACAAATAGATAAAACCAAGTATCAAAATAAAATGGTACTGACCTTGTAGGGCTCTGTTTATAGTGGGGCATATTTGCAGACTTCCATGTATTTCCTGGGCTTCCCTAATGCTCAAAAGGTAAAGAATCTGCCTGCAATGCAGCAGACCCAGCTTCTTTACTTGGGTTGAAAAGATCCCCTGGAGAAGGAAATGGCAGCCCACTCCAGTGTTCTTGCCTGGGAAATCCCATGGACAGAGGAGCCTGGCGGGCTGCAGTCCATGGGATCGAAGAGAGTCCCACAGGACTAAGGGGCACATATGCACACAGTCTTCCACTTAGATTTAACTGTTACATTTTGCTATATTTTATACTAGTTAAGAAGTTGTATAAAGTGTTACAATCCACTGTTCTCTACTTCTCTTTTTCCCTGTCCAAGTAGCTACTCTTCTAACTTTATGTATCTTTCCTATTTCAGTACTTTAAAAAATTTTGTTTTTTTCACAAAATATGTATAGTACAATTTGTATGTATGTTTAAACATGTTTCTAATTTATGTCTTTAGTTGTTCTTACTTGATTTTAGTTTTTATCAGTAGCACATGATTGAGAAAGTCAGTTTTACATGGAAAACAGCTGTTCTCTATTGTACCTCTTAATATTCTGCTCTTATTCTGCTCCTCAGCAGCAGTCACTTTCAACCTCCCGCTTTTTCTTCTTGTATTTACTTCCATGTGTCAGAAGAAACTTGTTGAGTCTTTATTGATTTATTTGTTACAGGTATTTTCCATTGACTTATCAATACATAACATGATTTAAGGGCTTCCCTGGTCGCTCAGATGTTAAAGAATCCGCCTGCAATGCGGGAGACCTGGGTTTGATCCCTGGGTTGGGAAGATCCCCTGGAGGAGGGCATGGCAACCCAGTCCAGTATTCTTGCCTGGAGAATCCCATGGACAGAGGAGCCTGGTGGGCTGTAGTCCATGGGGTCGCAGAGTCGGACACGACTGCGTGACTGAGCATAAGCAGAAGCCCAGCATGGTTTAGCTCTCTTAATCTTCTGCTCCCCAGCATATACAGGTATCTTTTCTCCCCTCCTTTCCAATATAGGTCTTCAAGTTAAGATTCCAAATTTTCAGTATTATGACCTGGTAAATATTTTTCAGAGCTGAGCCATGTGTTACGAGTTTATGATTATATTTCTTGTCCTATATAACTTTTTATTTTTCTTGGTTAATAAATTTGTCATTTTTTCCTTTGCATGGATTTCTATGTTTGCATTTCTAATAATTTATGCTCAAACTCTTCCAAATATAAATTCCCATTCAATATCTTTATATATATTTATAGCAATTTAAAATTTGTCTTGGAAATATTCCTCTTGGAACTCTTATTTTAAAGCAAATACATCTTTTAAAAAATTTTTATTTATTCATCTTGGACTGTGCTGGATCTTTGTTGCTAAGCGGGCTTTTCTGTAGTTGCAGCTCGTGGGTGTCTCATTGTGGTGCCCTCTTATTGTTGAGCACAGGCTCTAGGGTATGTAGGCTTCAGTAGTTGCAGACTGTGGGCTCATTTGCGGTGTAGTTGCTCTGCGGCATGTGGCATCGTCCCAGATCAGGGGTTGAACCCATGTCTCCTGCATTGGCAGGTGGACTCTTTACTACTGAACCACCAGGGAAGCCCAGTCCCTATTTTTAAATTAATTAATCAATTTGGCTCTGTCTGGTCTTCGTTGTGGCCTGTGGGATCTTCCTTGCAACCTCCCGGATCTCCAGTTGAGACTTGCAGGCTCACTAGTTGTGGTTTGTGGACTTAGTTGCTTGGCATTGGGATCTTAGTTTCCCTCCCAGGGATTGAACCTGTGTCTCTTGCATTGCAAGGCGGATTCCTCACCACTGGACCTCCAGGGAAGTCCCTACGTACTTTTTTTTTAATTCAGTAATAGCATCTTTGTTGTATGTCATGTGTCACATATACTTGTTTCTGGGCTCTCCATTTTATTCCAGTTAGTTTGTTTGCCTGTCCCTTTGCCAGTTATATCTGGTAGGCCAAGACTTTCCTCCTAATCATCAAAACAAGCCTGAGTATTTTTCATAATAATTTTAGCATCAGCTTGTCAAGTGCCTTGAAAAATCATGTTGGAATGTAGTTGAAAATAACGTTGGATTTATAGGTTTTAATGTGCCTTTATTACATTATGTCTTCCCATTCATGAACACATGGTGTCTTTCCACTCAGTGTGGTTAAAAAAAAGTCCTTTCATTCGTTTTCTTTCTTGTCTGTCAATACACTTTAAAATATTTCCCACAAATACCTTACTGTCAGCTTGTCTTACCATTTCCCCTAGGTATCTTACAGACTTTCTGTCATGAGTCGGATCTTCTTAAAATTACATTAAAAATTTTTTGTTGCTTGTATGGAGGGTTGCTGTTGGTTTTTTTTCTCTTGATACTGAACTTTTAGTCCATGCTCTTACTGAACTCTCATATTGGTTCAAGTACCTTAAACAGTAGAGTCTCTTAGGTTAAATTATCTCGATATTATTAAAAACCCTGTTAACATGTTTCTTCTCATGTAGAAAAGAGTCAGCAAGAATCTTTATGGCTAGTTTTGTGTTTCTGAGAAAGTGATGTTCGGAAGATTATTTTTGAGTGAATAAAAGGTATTATTGTTAGTAATTCATTAATTTTGGGTTTAGTGCTTAAACCTATTTGATGCTCATGAAATGTAAATCCATGTGCTTCTGGCTTCTACCAAGGAAACCTGGAGGGTGTTTAGTGGATTTGCCCATTTGAAGGTCAGTTAGAGTAAACAGGCCAGGAGATAGAAGTGAAATAGTATCATCTTTGTAATTGATGGCAAGTAACCAGTTGCTCCTTTTATATACTTTTTAAAAGTTTTTCTGGCAAGAAAAAGACTCTTTAAATATGGTTACTGTTTTGGATGAGGAAACAGGTTGATTTGACCAGGGTGGTATTTGAGGAGAGGGGAATCTGCAGAGGTGGGGATAAAAGAAGATATTTTGAAGGAAAAAAATTTTCTTTTTTTTTTTGATAAAATGAATTTGTTAGAAACTTAAAAATAGTTGAAAGTCATAGAAATTCTTTGAGATATAAGGCAGATGGTTATGCTTTTGTGCACTAGTGTCATTTTATGACTTCCTTAGTGGTCAGCATTAGACTTAACAACTCCTAGTCCTTAAACCAAGTGAGTGCAACAACATTTTAAAATAAAAATATTAGAGTTTAATATTTTAAAATATTGCAGTATTTAGTACAACCCTTTAATCTATTTATTATTAACTTTTAGTTCACACAAAAGATGCTGGACAACTTCTACAATTTTGCTTCATCATTTGCTGTCTCTCAGGCCCAGATGACACCAAGTCCATCTGAAATGTTCATTCCAGCAAATGTGGTTCTGAAATGGTATGGGGCATTATGTAGCTCTCATAGTAAGGCTTTGAGTAACCACATATATTTTGCTTGTGAATGTATTTCTTCTTTGAAGTTTAAACATTTTCTTTTATAGTGGATATCAGCCTACATTAACATTTGCATGCCATTAAATAGTATGTACTTTAGAGTTCAGATTAGGAAAAATTTCTGTCCCAAATAATATTCTGTTATATAGTAGCCATTTTGGCTTTATAAACACAAGAAAATACAGTTACTTATGTTTTAGGGACCACAATTAAGGTCTGTATCTTTTATCTATCTATCTTATCTATCTATCTAAGTATATATATATGCTTGAGTTTTAAGTACCATTTATGAGGCGTGAAATATCAATAAAAACTTTTTTTCCTAAGTTTAGAAAGTCTTGATCTAAAATAAACATGTATAAAACATCAGAGTGGTTTATACTGTACCCTGTATATAAATGATAAATAAATCTGTTTCTTCAGCTTTTCTCCGTTTCTCTTTTATAGATGTTTCTTTTCACTTTGACTATCCCAGTGTTAGGGAGACACATAAGGAGACTGTTGAGAAGTGGTAGCATGGTGTAGCATGGACTGGCCTGGAATGTATTAGGTTTGAGCTTTGTTATCATGGAGCTATGTGACCTTGAGCAAATCACTCTCATCCATGAAATGAGGGTGGGGGAGTTAGATTTCATTTTTTCTTAGGTCACTTCTAGCTCTCAGATTTGCCAAAGATAATAAAATGTATTATGATATGTGCTTTGTGATACAGCCAGTTAAATCACTATGCTTGCTGTCTTCTTATACATTAATAATTAAGCTCCCAAATTAACTTTTTAACTTTCTAGGTTTTTAATCTTGGCTTTTTAGAAGTGACATGTAAAGTTATTTGCTTTTTGATGAGTTATTTGTAAGGTTATAAAAGATTCTAATTAAATTTCTTATAAAGATGTTTCTTCTTTTGTAGGTATGAAAACTTTCAAAGACGACTAGCACAGAACCCTCTCTTTTGGAAAACATAATTTGAATAAAATAATTTTTAATGGATTCTGAAATTTGTCATGTTTTGAAGATAATGACTATTTGAAAGCATGAAGTCAAAAGGATCAGTGAAACCTAAGTTTAAAAACTGCTTAGTGACTATGAAGTTTAATTAAGATCTTTATAAAAAATTAAAAACATTGAAAAATGAAAACATGTTCATCATTAATGACTCCTTTCCCGTAAGCTTAAAATACTCAGGAGGTAAAACATTTTGTTTGGGCTATGATTCATGTTTTACTTAAAAATAAAGCATATTCACAATAGTGTGCCAAATGCATTGCATTTATAATCTTTTGTTTATATTTACAGTGGAATTTGCTAGAATAATTAATGAAAATCAAACATCAAAATTTGGAGATTTTTGGAAAAAGATATCCAATATACATTTTTACATATGGAGAAATTATTTTCAGTTAGTATTTCTTAAGAGTAAAAGTTGTTTCAGGGCAGTTCCCTGGCAGTCCAGTGGTTAGTACTAGGAGCCTTCACTTCTGTGGCCTGGAGTTCAATCCCTGGTCTGGGAACTGAGATCCTATAAGCCTCATGGGGCGGCCAAAAAAAAAGTTTTCAGTTAACAAAGTTGTTGTCACTTTTTATATCAGCAAATTCATACATTTTTAACAAAACTCCCATAATTAAGATTGTTCAGGTTTTATTTAATATTGATAATGTTAGGCACTTTTGTATAGAATATAGGATTTCTTACTTTTATGTATGAAGATGAAGCCTTTGTGTCTCATTCAGAGGAAAACCTTTGACTTACACTGGTGATTCCCATTGACCAAATACCACCAGGATCTCACCTGTCTGGTGATCTTTACAGAGATATAACAGTAAGTATTAACTACATACAAACTATCCCTTGGCTTGCCAAGAGGAAAAGACTGTGTGATTGTCCATGACAGCCCCTGGGTAGTGTATTTAAACCGGTTTATTGGGCTTCCACAGCAGAGCATTAGGCAAAATTTGGATTACTTTTCTGATTGTGGTGGTCTTGCTGTTGGGATAAGTAGTCATACCCAGTTTGGGTGTAGTGTTGTTAGTTGCTCAGTCATGTCCAACTCTTTGTGGACTGTAGCCTTTGTCCATGGGATTCTCCAAGCAGGAATACTGGAGTGGGTTGCCATTCCCTTCTCCAGGGAATCTTCCCAACCCAAGGATTGAACACAGGTCTCCCACATGGCAGGCAGATTCTTTACTGTCTGAGTCATCACGGAATCCCCAGAAGAATACGGGGGTGTTTGCCATTTCGTCCTCCAGGAGATCTTCCCAACCCAGGGATCAAACCTGTGTCTCTTGTGTCTCCTGCATTGGCAGGCAGATTGTTTACCTGTAAGAGGTGGGCAAAAGCCTGGTATTGATGTTGCAATTCCTGGTGAGTTACAGATGATATCAGAAATATAGTATCATAACAGAAGTAAGCCAATAATTGTTCCTTGAGGTGGACACATTCTTAGTGGAGCTCCAGTTCCTGCACAGAAGTCTGGGAAGTCTTGGAGAAAATGACCAGTACGGTGAGAATAAGTCCAGCATTTGTTCCACACTGGTGCACTTGGTTTAGCAGATAATGCTGTAATGATTACAGCAGAAGTACTTTGGTGACTTGGAGTACAGCTTTTGCAATAATGAAGATTGGGGCTAATGATATGAGGAAAATTCAAATTATAAGAAGGAGGCTTTAGGAGGAAATTGGTCTCAGGAGTTTAAAGGTTTAGAGTCAAATTCCAAAGTAAAAGATTTAATAACTGTTCCTTTAAACTCCTGAGACCAGTTTCCTCCCAAAGGTCCCTCCTGCTATGTGAGGATATATGGAGATGTCTGTGACCTGGAAGAGGGCTCTCAGCTGACCATATTGGCATCTTGATCATGGACTTCCAGCCTCCAGCACTATAAGAAACAAATTTCTATTGATTACATGGTGTTGAGTCTGTAGTTATTTTGTTATAGCAGCTTGAAGGAACAAAGACACATTGAAACATTTTATTAATTTTTACTTACAGTTTAATCTAGGAAAGCTGAACTCTTGATTCATTGATTTTTTTTAAGTTTAATTTTTAAAAAGAGCTTTTAGAATAGTTTTGAATTATTTAAAATTTGTAGAGTGCCATACAAACTTAATTTTGCCTATTACCGTTTTTCCATAAAACAACCCAGAGTTTAGGCAGGAAAAACAACAGTGTTTTTATGCCTCAATATGGGAAAGGGAAAATCATAAGAGAGTTGTCAGAAGAGACAAGAACGAACTTGAGTTAAAAATATCCAAAGGCAAGAAATAGTCTCAGCCAATATCTGTATCGGTTTACAGGGGAAAATAGTAACATAATTTACCATCTGTGCCCATTTTTTAAAATGCTTGTCACTGAATACTGAATAAAAAATTTTAAAAGATAGTAAGGGACTTTATTAGAATTTTAAATAGAAAATAGCAAACTCAAATATGTGTTTCATATTTTCATGCTTTGATGATAAGAGTGCCTGATGAACTATGGACGGAGGTTTGTGACATTGTACAGGAGACAGGGATCAAGACCATCCCCAAGAAAAATGCAAAAAAGCAAAATGTCTGTCTGAGGAAGCCTTACAAATAGCTGTGAAAAGAAAAGAAGTGAAAAGCAAAGGAGAAAGGAAAGATACACCCACTTGAATGCAGAGTTCCAAAGAATAGCAAGGAGAGAGAAGAAAACCTCAGCTATCAATGCAAAGAAATAGAGGAAAACAATAGAATGCGAAAGACTAGAGATCTCTTCAAGAAAATTAGAGATACCAAGGGAACATTTCATGCAATGATGGGCTCAATAAAGAACAGAAATGGTATGGACCTGACAAATTAAGAAGAGGTGGCAAGAATACACAGAAGAACTGTACAAAAAAGATCTTCATGACCCAGATAATCACGATAGTGTGATCACTCACCTAGAGCCAGACATCCTGGAATGTGAAGTCAAGTGAGCCTTACGAAGCATCACTGTGAACAAAGCTAGTGGATGTGATGGAATTCCAGTTGAGCTATTTCAAATCCTGAAAGATGGTGCTGTGAAAGTGCTGCACTCAGTGTCTGCAAATCTGGAAAACTCAGCAGTGGCCACAGGACTGGAAAAGGTCAGTTTTCATTCCAATCCCAAAGACAATGCCAAAGAATGCTCAAACCACCACACAATTGCACTCATTTCACATGCTAGTAAAGTAATGCTCAAAATTCTCCAAGCCAGGTTTCAGTAATAACCGTGAAATTACAGATGTTCAAGCTGGATTAGAAAAGGCAGAGGAACCAGAGATCAAATTGCCAACATCTGCTGGATCATGGAAAAAGCAAGAGTTCCAGAAAAACATCTATTTCTGCTTTATTGACTATGCCAAAGCCTTTGACTGTGTGGATCACAGTAAACTGGAAAATTCTGAAAGAGTTGGAAATACCAGACCACCTGACCTGCCTCTTGAGAAATCTGTATGCAGGTCAGGGAGCAACAGTTAGAACTGGACATAGAACAATAGACTGGTTCCAAATAGGGAAAAGGGTATGTCAAGGCTGTATTTGGTCACCCTGCTTATTTAACTTATATGCAGAGTACATGATGAGAAATGCTGGGCTGGAAGAAGCACAAGCTGGAATCAGGATTGCCAGGAGAAATATCAATAACCTCAGATATGCAGATGACACCACCCTTATGGCAGAAAGTGAAGAAGAACTAATGAACCTCTTGATAAATGTGAAAGAGGAGAGTGAAAAAATTGGCATAAAGCTCAACATTCAGAAAACTAAGATCCTGGCATCCAGTCCCATCACTTCAAGGCAAGTAGATGGGGAAACAGTGGCTGACTTTATTTTTTGGGCTCCAAAATCACTGCAGATGGTGATTGCAGCCATGAAATTAAAAGATGCTAACTCCTTGGAAGGAAAGATATGACCAACCTAGACACATAGTACAAAGCAGAGACATTACTTTTTCAACAAAGGTCCGTCTAGTCAAGGCTTTGGTTTTTCCAGTGGTCATGTATGGATGTGAGAGTTGGACTGTAAAGAAAGCTGAGTGCCGAGGAATTGATGCTTTTGAACTATGGTGTTGGAGAAGACTCTTGAGAGTCCCTTGGACTGCAAGGAAATTCAAGCAGTCCATCCTAAAGGAGATCAGTCCTGGGTGTTCATTGGTAGGACTGATGTTGAAGCTGAAACTCCAATACTTTGGCCTCCTGATGCGAAGAGCTGACTCATTTGAAAAGACCCTGATGCTGGTAAAGGTTGAGGGCAGGAGGAGAAGGGGACAACAGAGGATGCGTTGGTTGGATGGCATCACCAACTCAATGGATATGAGAGGGAGTTGGTGATGGACAGGGAGGCCTGGCGTGCTGCAGTTCGTGGGGTTGCAAAGAGTTGGACATGACTAAGTAACTGAACTGTACCCAATAAGGGCATTGTCTTCTGAATTTAACTAGGTATACATTAGTTGTCATGTATGAACCTGGGGCATATCCATCTTGTAATTGCTGATTCTAGATTTCAGGTGTATATCTAATCAGTTCTACTTTACTACTATCTGGTTACTGCATGATCAAAATGCAATACATGAAGCATTAATTGAAAACTGACAGTCAATAATTTTGTTGGAGAATAGCTGTCTTTGTTGAAAGACATAGCTCCATAGTTGAAAGACATTTTCATTTTTAGATTTATGGATTTATTGGAATGATCAAATAATTACTCATTTTTGCATTTTCTATATAACCTTTGTGTGTATACTTGCTTTCAACATTTGCCTGCTTAAAAACCTTATTAATACATAATTCTCATAACATCAGGTTCACTCAAAAGTGTATAATTCAATGTTTTTTTTTTTAGTATATTAATGGGATTGTGCAAGCATAATAATGATCTAATTTTAGAGCATTTTCATCTCCCCAGAAGAAACTCCATGACCATTAGTGGTTAATCTCCAGCCTCCAGGATCCCCAGTCCTCTAAGCAACTATGAATCTACTTTCTT